TCTGCTTAGTTCCTGGCAAAAGCAAATTGTTTCAGCATTCAGTTCTAAAGAGTTGACTTAGCTGTATAAGCTTAGGTATGTGCAATTTTGTCTGTAATAAAAGGTGTTTGGGGAAGAAGGCAAGTTATAGCTGGAGTATATATGGCTCAGTACTAATATTAAATAACAAAGGTCAGGGGAAGAAATGCACAGTATTTTATATTGTGTAGCACATATTTTGGCCTTTTGCCCAGGGACGAGTTATGTTACAATACCCATGCTGCTATTATTTTTGTTTGTTACCTCTATTATTAGTCTTCAGCAGCTCTGTAAAAATGTTTCCTATGAGAAAACTACTAAATATACCTTTGGATAAAAGCAGAGCAACAGAATATTTTGTTTTGATTTATAATTCAATGAGCTTCATCAATATAAAACAGAAAATAGTTGCAAAAAAATTGGCAAGGTCTTTTCTACCCTGTTGGGAGAATGGGTTGAAAAGCAGAAAGCAGCTGGAAGTAACTCTTGATGAGACTCTGTTAACAGCAGGCTAGTCATCCTCTTACATGCACTGAGTTTAATGGTGCCTGCTCTGCACTTGTGTAGCCCAGGTGTTGCTTCAGGGCTCCTCCAGGTAGCAAGGTAATGGACATAAATTCACTCTTTGTGCCTTAGACATTGGTTTGTGGAAGTACCAACTGCCTTCTGGTGGTGGCTCACTCCCTCTTCCCACAGACTGCAAAATTTTCTTTCAGTAAGGAAAAACAAAAACAACATTAAAATAAGATGAAAGTCCAAGTCAAATCTTCACTCAGAACAAGTGCTGTCTGCCTTCAGCTTCTCCAATGTGTGTCCTTCCCACACAAGCTGCAGTACTTCAAGAACTGCTCTAAAGTGGAGCCCTTCCATGGGTCCAGAGGTTGTTCCAGGAGCCTGCTTGAGAACAGGGTTTTGTTGGGGTCACACGTGCCTTTGGACATCCACCATGGGATCCTCCATGGGCTGCCTGTGGTTCTGTGCTCCACTGTGGACACCTCCACAGGTCACAGTCTTATGGACACAAATTCACATTGGTGTTCCAGCCTGTCCAATACAGCAGCACAGGAGCTCAGATTGCCCTGGGTACCCTCCAGACCAGGCACTTTGCCATGGCTGTCACCAAAGTGTTCCCAGGCTCAACATGCTGAGGTGACCAGCAGTGCAGCCAGAAACAAAATTAGAGCAGCCACTAACAGGCACTGGGTAAAGTGACCTGCATGGCAAGCACAGTAGCTGGCCAGTTAATAGCTAAGCAGCACTAACAGCTACAAATTTAATGTAGCACATTCCACTCACATCTGCCATTATTTCAACCCTTCATGCACTACATTGGGTACCAAAACAACTGACATGGTATTACCCCATCTGTTTTTTCTTCATTTTAATCACTTGTTTTCTCTGAGTTTTATTTCTTCTTTCCTTGTTTTGTTATCATTTTTCTCTTTTCCTTGCAATTCATTATTACTACTACTATTACTATTTCTAACTTATTAAACTGCCGCTAGTTACCTGAGCCCATGAGTTTGTTTCTCACTTTTACACTTCCAATTCTTCCATGTCCCACTAGGGTGGCAGAGTGAGAGAGACTGAGCAGCTGTGGTTTTCTTAGTTGCCAACTAACATTAAACCACAACTGTGTTGTAAGTATATTTGGTATGATTATTTTCCCTTCAAGTAGATTACACAGTCACAGAACCCATTGGTTTGGAAAAGACCTCTGAGATCATCAAATCCAATCTTTTACCAAACATCACCATATCAACTAGATCAGGGTGCCAAGGGCCACAGCTTTTCCTTAAAGCCCTCCAGGAACAGTGACTGCATCCACCTCCCTGGAAAGCTCATTCCAAGATCTAATCACTCTTTCTGTTAAGGAATTCTTCCTAGTGTCAATCTAAATCTCCCCTGAAGCAGTTTATGTCCTCTTGTCCTGTAACTGGTTCCCTGGGAGAAGAGACGCCCACCTGGCTACAGCCTCGGGTCAGGGAGTTGCAGGGTATAAGGTACCTCCCGAGCCTCCTTTTTTCCAGGCTAAATGCACCCTGATTCTTCACCTATTTCTCATCAGACTTGTGCTCCAGACCCTGTCCCAGCTTTTCTCGCTTCTCTGGACATGTTCCAGCCCCTCAATGTCCTTCCTGAATTGAGGGACTGGGAACTGGACACAGCACTCCAGCTGCGGCCGTGGCGCTGCCCAGCACAGGGGGACGCTCACTGCCCTGCTCCTGCCGCCCCACTATTGCTCACACATGGCCAGCATGCCCCAGGCCTTCTTGGCCACCTGGGCCCAAGCTGGCTCACGTTCAGCTGCTGTTGACCAGATCCTTTTCCTCCAGGCAGTTTTCCAGCCACTCTGCCCCAGTCTCTAGCAATGAGTGGTTGTTGTGGTTTTGTTGAACGTCAGACCATGGGCCTCAACCCACCAATCCAGCTTTCCAGATCCCTCTGCAGAGACTTCCTGCCTCATAGCAGACCAGCACGC